TACAATAAATCAAAAAATGAGTCGGGCGTGGTAGTGTGCGCCTCTAGTTCCAGCTACTTGGAAGGCTGAGCGGAAGGATCGCGGGATCCCTGCAGGTCGAGGCTGCGGTGGCTGGGAGCGGCCACTGCACTCCAGTCTGGGCGACAGTGAGACTCCAACTCAAAAAAAAGAAAAAAATGTAGGTTTGAATCGTGGCAAGGAATTTGCAAACCTACATTTCTTGTTTTCATTGAGTAAAAATAAGGCAGCCGTCAAGTCATTCATTCATTTGCAGTTTTTCTTGATTACTTCCTAGTATGTGCCCAGCAAGGTGATAGGTTACAAGATCCACTGGCCTGTAGAAGGAGCTGGTGAGACCTGGAAGAGAGACTAATGTCTCCTTGTGTGAACATTCCGAGGCTGCCTTTGTCCTTGTAGAATTGATTTTTTTTCTATAAATGTGGCATAATTTTCCAGATTAATACCACTGCTTTCCCATCTGAAATTTAGTACTATTTAAATGTAATACTAGTTATCTTTGAATTGCTTTATTTTATTTTGTTGTTATTATTTTTTGGTTAGACTCTCACTTTGTTGCCCAGGCTGGAGTGCAGTGGCATGCTTACAGCCACTGCAACCTTGACCTGCTGGGCTCAGGTGATTCTTCTGCCTCAGCCTTCCAAGTAGCTGGAACCATAGGCGTGTGCCACCATGCTTGGCTAATATATATATATATATTTAATTTATTGTAGAGATGAGGTCTCACCAAGTTGCCCAGGGTGGTCTCAAACCCATGAGCTCAGGCAGTTCTCTTACCTCAGCCTCCCAAAGTGCTGGGATTACAAGCATAAGCCACTGTGCCTGGCTTTTTTTTTTAATTTAAAATTTTAATTTTTTGAGTCAGGGTCTCACTCTGTTGCCCGGTACATAATAACAGCTCACTGCAGCCTCAACCTCCTGGGTTCAGGTAATCCTTCTGCCTCAGCCTTCCAAGTATCTGGGACTACAGGTACCTGCCACCATCCCTGGCTAATTTTTGAATTTTTTGTGGAGACAAGGTCTCACTGTGTTGTCCAGGCTGATCTAGAACTTCTGGACTATAGCAGTCCTACCTCGGCCTCCCAAATTGCTGGGATTACAGGTGTGAGCCATCATGCCCAGCTCACTGAGTTTTTTACTTATTTTTTTTTTTAACTGAAATTTATTTATTTTTATTTTTGTAGAAATTAAATCTTGCTATGTTGCCCAGGCTGGTCTTGAACTCCTGGCCTCAAGTGATCCTCCCACCTCAGCCTCCAAATTACTGGGACTATCATTGTGAGCCACCATGCCCAGCCATTCCATCGCCCTGACTGGAGTGCAGTGGCATGCTCCCGGCCACCACAGCCTCGACCTTCTGGGTTCCAGCGATCCTTCCGCCTCAGCCTTCGAAGTAGCCGGAACTACAAGCACACGCTACCATGCCCAGCTAATTTTTGATTTATTGTAGAGATGAGGTCTCACCAAGTTGCCCGAGCAGGTCTCGAATCTACTTTTTAATTCTAAAATTTCCATTTGGTCTTTTATATTTTCTATTTCTTTGCTGAGACTTTTAAATTTTTATTTCTTTAAGATTTTTTGTAACTGCTTATTGAAGCATTTTTATGATGGCTGCTTTAAAGCCTCTGTCAGATAATTCTAACATCTTAGTATTGGCATCTATTGACATCTCTTTTCAAGTGAGATTTTCCTGGTTCTTTGTATGAGTGATAATTTTCTGTTGAAACTAAGACATTTTGTATATTATGACATTTGGATCTTATTTAAATTTTCTGTTTTAGCTGACCTTTATTGACACCACTTCAGCAGGGGAAACAGGGATGCTGTTTCATTACTTCCAAGTGAGAGTAAAAGTCCATGTTCCCCACATGGCCTCTGTTGACACCCTGGAAGAAAGGAGCTGCTCATTATTGCTGAACAGAGATGGGAATTCTGTCTCCCCAGTGAGAGGGGATGGCTCATTGCTGTCCTGTCACCCGTAACTTGACTTTCTCTGATGCTACCGTGGTAGGGTGGGAGGTGGAGGATGGGGCGCTTGTTACTGAAGGGCAAGGGTGGAAGTCTAGGCTCTTCAGTTGGCCTTTACTGGTGGATGCGTGGAGGCTGCAGTTTTTTCTGTGGTGTTTGGCAGAAGCAGAGTGGTTTTTGTCTAAAAGTGTTGTGTTTTGTTATGCTGTACCTTTCCTAGTTCTTCCATTGGAGAGAGCAGGCTTGTTGTTGTTGTGGCATTGTTTTGGTGTGTGCCCACTGGCATTTCTCATTAGCTTCTCCAACATGGTGTCAGGGATACATGAGGCAAAAAGAAAACTCAGTGAACTCACAGCTGTGCCATTTCGCATGTCCCAAGGTCCCTAGCCAGTCTGCCGCCTTCTTTCTACCTTTTTATGTTTATTTTATGTCTAATGTCCAGCGTTTTCAGTTTGTATTTAGTGAGAGAACTAGAAAAAAGTACTTCTCCATCTTTCTAGAAGTAGTTCTTTTTTTTCAGCAGCAGATGAATCTTTTATCTGAGTATGGGCTGTCTCATAATAACTCACACCTGAATTCATAAATGTCAAATTCCCATAAAGATAAGCCTCTCCCTTTATGAATTAAATTAAAAAAAATCTTTTGGAATGCAAAGTACATTTTTATAGAGAAAAAACATTAAGAGTGTTACCACCATTCTTAGACTCTTACAGCGGGGTGTAAAATCTCTCAGCCTCTCTGGCAGCTGCCATCCTGTACACTCATACACACTCACAGCTTACACAAACACAAGTAACAGTTGATATCATAGTGTCACCTTCATTTGACCTCACACAAACTAAAGATTCTAAAAGATGGATGTGGATTTCACTAGTTTGCAGTACTAGTAACTTGTTAGAGCTGAAAAACAATGAATTGTATTTATCTTGAATGCTCTTGTTTGAGGAAAAGCAAGTCTGATCACCAAAGGGTAAAATGGATTAAGTAGAGAGCCTGAGGGGACTTTTGAGTCTTTTTAGAGAGTGGTAGAACTGGTTCTTCAGATTACCATCTCTTGTAAATGTCAAGTTTTTTCCTTTTTATTGGTTTAACACAATACCTGGCATTTATTAGATGCTCCATAAAGACAACAATAGAGAGGGCGTTCTGGAGTTGACAGTTGGATTAAATGCATACTGCTTTCCTTTATTGGAGCATATAATTTGCTCAGCCCCCAAAATGTACCTTTTTTATTTTCCTTAGGGATGTTTCTATTCTCTCTTTGATTCATTGTTTGTTTGTTTTTTTTTTTTTTTGCCTCAGTGTCTTCTGTCTTCATATTTTGGCTTAAGTCTCTTGTTGGAGTTATTGTTTAGACCCTAAGCTCTGGTTTCAAATTGCTCTTGTAGTCTCTCTGTCAGGGCGTTGTGCCTTGTAACTCTTTTAAAAGTTTTAAAATTAAATATTTTAACCATTCATGAGAGTATAGAAGATAGTGCAGTTAACCTCCATACTCCTGTCTCTGATTCTCTTTGGGGTGCTAGAAATCTCAGCATTGGCCAAGCGGCTGATGTAGAGCCCACAGTGGCTTCTGGCAGTTGGCCTGACCCTGCTATTGGTGCTGGGAACTTAGTAGCTTTTGTGTGTGGATGTATTTTTTCCTGAAGCTTTTCACATTTTTATTCCCCAGTGAAAGGTGTGGGGAATAGGGTCAAATGGACTTTGTAGGGTCTGTTGGCTGGTAACCTAATTTTCCTTTTTGCCTTCTCTGTTTTTGCACCACTGCAGTTTCTACATGTATACAGTGGAAATAATTATTAATTCATCCATTCCAGACATGGTCTTTACTCTTTGAACTTATTGGGTAGTGGAAATGCTAAATCAATAAACTAGAGAACAAAGAGGTAGGTTTTGCAGGAATTTAAAGGAGAAAGTACTTACAGCTGGGCAGATCTGGGAAGGTTTCATTTAAGGGGTGGATTTGAGACTGTCTTTGATTTAGATTTGGATATGGTAGATTGGAGTAATGGCAGTGCAGATACAGGCAAATACAAACAGGCACAGAAGAGTAGTAGTGTGCATCCTGGGGTTTGAGAAGAAGAACTGAGATGCCGAATAAGGTTGCATCCCAAGAATTCTTTAGAAGAAAGGTCCACTGATATACATGTTAGCATCCTATCAAGTAGAGGAGCTGACAAACAGGATCTGTGGCATAAGATATATAGAACCGTGGAAAGACCCATATGAGCTGTAACGACCACCTTATTAGTTCCTAGTTGCAGGGCTGCTGAGCACAATGTGCAGGTTATGCTCTGAACAAGCACCCTGTGGAGTTTATAGATAGGGCTAAAACCTAGCCGTGCTCTGCTGGCAGAACTAGTGCAGACCTGCTTCCACCCTGAGAGGCACCTTTTTCTAATTTGCCAAAGGCACCATGAGGGCTCAGATCTGCTTCTTTTTGTTTCTTAATGATGCTCACATATCATGGCCAAATATTTAGTGTCTCACTGTAATATAATTTGCTAAATCATTTCCTTTAGCCATTTGTAGGAACTCAGTCATCAATATGAAGACTGGCTCTATACCAGACATTTGCAGAAATTCAGGAGGACATGCTTTCTAAGTTCCATTTTTGCCTTCTGCTGTCCTTGTCACCAGCATTAGGTTGGATGCTTAGAATCCCTCCACCTTTCTCCATCTCCCTGCAAGTAAGGATATGGCCACTAGACTGCTTAGTGCCCAACTCCATGGGTGAACTGAAATGTACAAGTCACTGTCCCCTTAGAGTTGTCTTACTCTGGGTCCTGCTACCTGCTGTTACTGTTGTTGTAGAATATACAGGGAGGATAGTGAAGGGAGGAAAATTGGGAATGATGTACCTGTAGAGGGCAGGGAAATAATAATAAAAGCAACATTTGCAATTATAGTGGAGGTGAGGGTGAAACAACCTACAGTGGACATTTTTGAGGGTGGGGGTTTTTATCTCTGACACAATCATATGACCCTTAGTAACAAGGTGACCTTGCTTTCCTCAGGTGTCCTCATGACTTCTCTTGTGGACCATGTCCATGATCCTTTTTGCCTGTGTGGTACGGGTGAGGGATGGACTGCCCCTCTCGGCCTCTACCGACTTTTACCACACCCAAGATTTTCTGGAATGCAGGAGACGGCTCAAGACTTTAGGCTTGCGACTGGCCCAGTATCCAGGTCGAGGTTCTGCGGCAGGCCATGACTTCAATATATAGTAAGCAAATATATTCACCTTTTTAGAACATTAGTAAAGTTTGTGTTACTTTGAACTACATTTAGAGGTAACATTATGTTAGTCATATTGTTCATTAATAGTAAATCTGGCATCAGGCAGTGGTCTGAGGTTGTGTATGCCTTCAACAACAGAATCGTGGAAGAAGTTGCTTCTTAGAGCCTTAAGCATTACTGCTTCAACTACTAACTTCTGTCAGTGGAGTGCCCTGACCTGTCTTCATTCCGTTTTCATGTCTTTAGTTTTATAGTTTTTTCTGCTTTTAGATGTAGGGGAGGGAAAAAAGGGGAGGAGGGAGGAGATACTAGATTAAAATGTTGAGGAAGAAAATGGTGAAAGTGAGAATGCCAAGAAAATAAGAAAAAAAAAAGACTTCATCTTTAGCTGTTGTCTTCAGTGTTTTGCTTATGTTTTTTCACTTTTTAAATTTTTTATTTTTCACTTTAAATTTTTATTATGTGACATGAGCAGGGGAGTGAAAAATGAATGAGAGCAGGTCTCTTTTTCAAGGAACTTAAAGTCTAATGAGGGTACAAGAGAGATATTTAAAAATATAATTCAGTGGGGGAAAATGTTCCAGTGGAAGAAGGAATCAAGTGGTTACAATTAATCACTGAGCCCAGCTATTTTTATTTTTTTTGTTGTTCAGCTAAAAATTTTATTAGGGAAGAAGAAGAGAAAGATAGATACTGGGAGATAATCAGCAGTCTCTTCCTCCACCATCTTTCTTTTTCAAACAGAAGCAGTTCAATCTGGCAAAAGTACCAATCCTTGGATTTGGAGACAAAACTTCTAACAGGCTTCTTTGACTTTGTCAGACATCCTACATCCACATGTAGGTGGAGCCAGAGGTTATAACAGATCATCATCAGAGGGAGGACAATCCAAGCTTGGTGATGATATGTGTCAGAATGTCTACCCAGGCAAATTCCTTAATTTTCATCTGAGTCACATGTTGGAGGAGTAAGTTGTTCTACTGGCCAAAGGGAGGCAACAGTATAAAAAAAGCCATGTTTATGTTACTGCTGACCGAATACAATGAAGCTTTCTTAGCTTAATAATATAGAAAAACTTCAAAGGAAGGGGTCTTCCTCTAAAATCCATCAAATACATCAGTTAGGCTTGAAACCATCTTGTTAAACTACTTGTTGAAACTTTTCATTGTATATTTGTTTGATGCTGCCTTTGTATTCAAGTTTTTTTTTTTTTGACTCAGAGTCACCCAGGCTGGAGTGCAGTGGCATACACAGCTACCCCAGCTTCAACCTGCTGGGCTCAGGTGATCCTTCTACCTCAGGCGTCTAAGTAGCTGGAACTACAGGCATGTGCCACCACACCTGGCTTGTTTTTCTTTATTGTAGAAATGAGGTCTTGCCAAGTTTCCTAGGCTGGTCTCGAATCCCTGGTGATCCTCTCGCCTTTGCTTCCCAAAGTGCTGGGATCAGAGATGTGAGCCACTGTGCCCAGCTTTGCATTCAGGTCTTGTTTTCCAGGAGAAATGCACACATAGTCCAATTGTAATTTCATCATTATGCATTTTGGATGTTGCAGTTAGCCTAAGCCTTGAATGTTAAAAGTTTAAACTCTAACCTTTTTTTTTAATTGAGAAAGTTTTTATATAGAGAGTTCTAGTTATAAAAACTATAGTAGAACAATATAACCTAAAGACCCTCCTCCCAGAGATGCCCAGAAATGAGGATAAATATTTATCAAAAATTATTTTAAATGTATAGTTAAGTTTGAAAGTAAGAAATCCCAAGGTGCCAGAAATGAAGGGGAACAGAAATTTGAGGTGGTAAGGGGTACTCAATCACGATAGACTGGGCACTTGGTTTGTGCTTATGCAGGGTGGGATATCAGAATGATACTCTTGCATAATTGCATAAAGGCAAGATTCTTGTCAGGCTGCAACCCTAATGAAATGATGATAGGTGAGAAATAGTCTACCCACTTGTACAGGGGTGAATCATCTCTACTTGACTTTGGATGGTAAAAACAAAACAAAACAAAACTTTCACCTAAGAAATTGAACTGCTGTTCTTATGCCTTAGGAAAGGTTGAAATTTGAATTTATACTCCCCAGATCAAGGAATTCCTAAACCAAGGTCAAAATATCAGTGATGGTCCCAGACTGATGGCATGGCTGGAACGCGGCCAGAGCAAATGCAGAACCTCATTGGAATAAATGTGCCACAACTTGGGCCTCAGGATTCTTTTTTTTTTTTTTTTTTGAGTTGGAGTCTCACTCTGTCGCCCAGGCTGGAGTGCAGTGGCCGCTCCCGGCCACTGCAGCCTCGACCTGCTGGGCTCCGGCGATCCTTCCTCCTCAGCCTTCCAAGTAGCCGGAACTACAGGCATGCGCTACCACTCCTGGCTGATTTTTTGATTTATTGTAGAGATGAGGTCTTGCTGCCCAGGCGGGTCTCGAACCCGCGGGCTCAGGCAATCCACTCACCTCAGCCTCCCAAAGGTGTGGGATTATAGGCTGAGCCACCGAGCCCAGCTTGGGCCTCAGGATTCTTATAGAAGAAAGTTCCACAGGGATGAGCCTTTAGCAGAAAATGACAAAACACAAGAGGAGATACTCCACAATAAGGGGGAGTCAGAAGACACCATAGATACATGAACTAGAGCCCCCCTGAACTTGATATGATAGTTTGACAGTCCAAAAGGAAGTAGAAAAAGAAGTCCTGCATTTATTTTATAAGACCAGAATAACTTTAGCACCACAACCAGATGAAGACAGTATAAGAAAGGAAGATTATAGACCAGTCTTATTTTGCATAGACATTAAAGTCCTAAATAAGACATCAGCAAACTAAATCCAACAGTTGTATGTATATGAATATGTAGGAACTTGTATCCAACAAGAGTGTATTTCAGGATGCTAGAATGATTTAACATTAGTAAACCTATTGATGTAGATTAATATATTTATCAATAGATGCAGAGATGTTTGAGGTTAATTTTCCTAAGAATATGCATCAATTTTTAAAAAATTTTAGATTCGGGGGCACATAAGAATATGCATCTCTGTTTTCAATAGTGACTAATACTGCTAGACATTTTAAAGGAAGTCTACGAAAAGACATAGTCCCAGGAATAGGTCTAACTAAAGAGATAGTATATATGCAGCAAACAGCTAGAGGACTGTTTAAGGCTGAGCAAGTGCAGGGTTGAGGTAAGGTTGTGTCTGGGTGTGGGATGGGGAGTACATGGGTCTGTTTCCTGGTAATACAGTGGTTGTTGCCGTTTTGTTTCAGTTTTTCTTCTTTGGGTGATGTGGCCTGCATGGCGATCTGTTCCTGCCGGTGTCCAGCAGCCATGGCCTTCTGCTTCCTGGAGAACCTGTGGTGGGAATTCACAGCTTCCTATGATACCACCTGCATTGGCCTAGCCTCCAGGCCATATGCTTTTCTTGAGTTTGGTTTGTAACACTCTTTTGTATCGATTGTTCTCTCAAATGGTACTGTATATGTAGAACTTACAGTGTAGGCTTGCCTTTGACCATCAAGGAAAACCACTGGGGGTGCAACATGTCACTGAAGAGCAGCCTTGGACCATGAGATTTCACAACAATTGAAGTGGCCTGGAAAACTTCAAGGTTTAACGTTGTTTTTATTCTCTCTCCAGAGCTTGGAGCAGGATGGAGGAAGGTTTAAGCGTATATAGGTTATAATCCACAGCCCTCTGAAGCTGGGGTCAGCAAACTATGGCTTATAGGCCAGCCACCTGTTTTTGTGAATAAACTGGAACATGGCCATGCTCTTTCTATTACATATTATCTGTGGCTGTCTATGCCCTATGATGGCAAAGTTGAGTTATGACAGAGACCATGTAGTCCACCAGCCTAAAATATTTATTATCTGGCACTGTAACACAATTTTGCCAACCCCTGTTCTTAAAGGGTGTTCTTCCATCAGGAGTTAAGTACAGAAAGTGAGAAGCAGTGTTTAGAAATTCTTATAGTAATCTGACATTCCTGTGATTATTATTATTATTTTTTTGAGGCTGGGTCTCCCTCTGTTGTCCATGCTGGAGTGCAGTGGGATGATTATGATTCACTACAGCCTTGTCCTCCTGGGCTCAGGTACTCCTGCCTCAGCCTCCCAAGTAGCTGGGACTACAGGCACACATCACCATGTCCAGCTAATTTTTAAATTTTTTGTAGAGATGAAGTCTTACTATGTTGCCTAGGCTGGCCTCAAACTCCTGGGCTCAAGCATTCCTCCCACCTTGGCCTTCCAAAGTGCTGGGATTACAGGTGTGAGCCACCGCACCCGGCGTCTGTGATATTACCAAATTAGGTTTGACAGGATTTGGTTTAAATGGTCAGGTCCAGGACCAGTACCTGGAAGTGTTGCCATGTAGGCTTTCTGGCTATTACTGCCATAGACCTCACATTCCCTCATGTGGTCCACTGACTTGCCTTTTAGGAGTGGGACTAGCACCCTCTTTTGGTGTCACCTGAAGGTGCTGGGGAACTCCCTGGTACACAGGCCCCAGCTTGGTAGACCTGTGAGAAACTGAGAGTTCCCCCTCAGATCTCCCTGTGAGACCTTAGTCAAACTTGTGCTCTTAGTCCCATTTATTCCTATGAAGAGGGTGTGCTAGCCCAAAACAGCCCGCAGCTGCAGCATCCCTGACTGTGAATTGATTTGGAATGGCTGGACCTGTGTTCTTCTCTCTCCTCTTCTCTGTGTGTGCCTTCCTTCTAAGGAAGTGTGTGCTTGATCTTACAGTCGGTCCCCCAGCATCATGCTTGCTCATTATTGAGTGAGAGTAGAATGAGTCAAAGCACACTGATAATAGAATGATACATGCATGATCTTGCTTTGCCAATATGTATGAAATTTCACTTCATAAACTTGTCAAGGTAATGGAATAATACTAACATAAATTTAAGATTTAAAACCAATACCTTTCAAGTATATAATCCTAGTTCGTACAGCATGTTTATATTCATTTGTATTTTTTTTCAAACAAGACATTTTTTTTAGATAATCAGGTCAGGAATAACTGTGCCTGTTTCACAAGCTTAGAAATAGTCTGTGAATGTGTACTCAAGCCCCTTTCCTCCAACTGGAATGTCACTGAGATTTTGTGATACATTTATTACCTTCTCTGCTTCTTAGAAATGTGAACTTCATTTTACATATATTATAACATCCATTCTGATGAAAATGCTCAATTTGGGTTGCTCTCTTTTTGCAGACAGCATCATTCAGAAAATAAAGTGGCATTTTAACTATATAAGTTCCTCTCAGATGGAGAGCAGCTTGGAAAAAATTCAGGAGGAGCTCAAGTTGCAACCTGCAGTGCTTCTCACTCTGGAGGACACAGATGTGGCAAATGGGACGATGAACGGTCACACACCAATGCACTTGGAGCCTGGTGAGGGGCTTGCTGTTCTCTAATGTTGACGAAGACGAAGTGATGTTATGTATTTCAAATGGATATTGATTTTTTTTTAACTAGAACTTTTTTTGAGGGGGTTTATGTTGGGAGAAAATAGACTGAACCTACTTCCAGGTGGCTGTTATAAAAAACCTTACTATTATGACAGTGGGTTGGTTTGAGGGGAGACTGTTTTTATGATGAAATTCAGGAGCTGAAGAGTGACTTGGAAGGTTGTTTTCTTAACCAGGGTGAAGTCTACAAGTTTAAATGTTGTAAAGGAGATTCATTCTCTTTTGCTGGAAGTCACTTATTGAAATGTACAGATTTGTATTAGTTTTTCTATATATTTGGACAGTGGATTTTTTTTTTTTTTGAGAAAGCAGGATTTATTGAGAGGACAGAAAAGCTCCCCCAGTGGGAGGGGACCCGAAGGGGTTGCCCTGTACAGTGAATTTTTATCTCATTATATCACTTATGAAACATTGCAAATCTCCACTGAGAAACACCTACTCTCCTTGTTGGAGAGAGGAATGTGGGGATGAGAGTGTTTAGGCAGGGGTCAGAGCCTGGGTTTTTGAAGTACTCTCTCTGTGAAACTGGGGGTCTCCTTCTGTCCCTATGGATTTCAGAGCCTTCATCTGAAGAATGAGGTTTTAATGAATGGGATCACAGTGCCCTGGCATTCCATGACTTTGTCTGGCATTAACACCATTAGCCACTCAGTGTTTAATGTATAATGAAGCATGATTGTTTTGCATTTCTTGTTTACAATTAAACTAATATTTAATCAAAGTGAATATCTGTATCCTAAGATTTCTGTAATGGTATAAGAGCTGAATCCTTCTGTGAGAGAGCTGTCTACACTTTAACAGTCTAATTTCTTTGTTTTTAATTGTTTTATACTCATTGCTTGAATTTTTAAAGTGATATATTAAAAGTGTTCATGGTTTTGGCTTAACGTTGTGTTTTGGTTTAACTGTTTCAACCAATAAATCCCTGGATTGACTCTCATGCTAAGCAGTAGGTTGCTCTAATTCATATTGAGAGTAAATGTAACTTTTCTGGAAGGAAGACTGGGTAATTGAACACCAAGCTTCTCCCTTGCCATGTACAAATGCAGGCATAACTTTGTAATATGTGTTTTGTTTTTTAAACACTTAGACAAGAGGAGCAAATCCAGAAAGTGTCAACTTGCCCATCTTTCTAGGACATTTTACTGTGGTTTGACTCACCCTGTTGTCCTGAGGCTAGAATCTTTACAGGTAGCATGTTCTGTTCTAACAGGAACTTTGAATTACTCAGTGGAAGCTCTAACACACTAACAGCAGGGACAAGTTTGGTTGTGACTTAGGTATTTGTGTGTGTGTATGTGTGTGCATGTGTATGTGAAATGTAAGGGCAGGAAGGGATTTAAAAAGAGTATAGCAAGAGAATGGGTGGGACATCATTTACTCAATTTCGATGGTTATCTTTAAAGAGAATGAGCATTCATTCTAATTGTAGTTCTAGAAGCAGCTTGTAGCCTAAATAATTGATGTTTTTCTCTTCTTTCTTCCCAATTATTTTAGACGTTTAAAAATTCACATTTAGCTGGGCTTGGTGGCTCAGCCTGTAATCCCGCGCCTTTGGGAGGCTGAGGTGAATGGATTGCCTGAGACCACGGGTTCGAGACCCGCCTGGGCAGCAAGACCTCATCTCTACAATAAATAAACAATCAGCTGGGCGTGGTAGCGCATGCCTGTAATTCCGGCTACTTGGAAGGCTGAGGCGGGAGGATCGCCGGAGCCCAGCAGGTCGAGGCTGCGGTGGCCCAGAGCGGCCACTGCACTCCGGTCTGGGCAACAGAGTGAGACTCCAACTCAAAAAAAAAAAAAAATTCACATTTGCTGAGAGTTAGTATAGGAGCACACAACAGTGCATATTGTCTTTGTTAGAAAAAGAGTGCAGCATTTTGTAAGCTGAAGGTTTTTGAGGCTTTTAATAGAAATGTTTTCAGAATTTGACAACCAATTTACAAATAAAACCATGGTTCTCTCTGGTAGCATAACAAATTGTTTTAAATCAGGATTTTTCAACTTAAGCCCTATTGACATTTCTGCATTGGCTAATTCTTTATTGTGGAGGACTGTCCTGTGCATCGCAGGATGTTTAGAAGCATTCCTGGCCTCTACCCACTAGGTGCCAGTAGCACCCTGTCTCTAATTCTGATAATCAAAAATATCTGCACACATTGCCAAATATCTACTGAGGAGCAAAAGGCCCCTAATTGAGAACCACTGCTTTAGATAGAAAAAAAATTAAGCACTTGAAAATCTTGTGCTTGCCCAGAGAAGGGATTCTTTCTAGAAGAAACTTACCTCAGATTCCCAGATCCATTCTGTTCTTCCTTTTTTGCCTTTTCCCCTGCTAACTTCTCTGCTCTTAATATTAATATGTTTGTAATTCTGTGTTTAACATAGTGAACTTATTGTTAGTGGAGGTCTAGTTAATGTCTCTGTTTATTTTTCTTTCATATAGAAATTATTTTCACTAGTTACTTATTTTTTTTAATTGTGAAGCTCCAAATTTCCGAATGGAACCAGTATCAGCCCTGGGTATCCTCTCCCTCATTCTCAACATCATGTGTGCTGCCCTGAATCTCATTCGTGGAGTTCACCTTGCAGAACATTCTCTACAGGTAATCTTTTTCTTTTGCAGTTTAGATTGAAGTATATGTTGTAGAAGAAACTGATGGGGATACATTTTACTTATAAGGTTATTATGCACTGAAAGTTTAGATTACAAAACATTTTTTGAGTGTTTAAAAATTTTTTTAGAGACAATGTCTTGCTCTATTGCCTTTGAACTCTTGCACTCAAGTGATCCTTTTACCTTAGCCTCCTGAGTAGCGAGGACCATAGTCACACACCACCACTCCCAATGATTAGAATTTTTTTTTTTTTTTTTTTTTTTGTAGAGACAGTATCTTGCTGTGTCCCTCAGGCTGGTCTTGAACTCCTGGTCTCAAGTTGTCCTCCTGTTTTTGCCTCCCAAACTGCTGGGATTACAGGCATGAGCCACTACTCCTGACCAAAATTTTAATAATTCAAATAAAATGTTTTTTAAAATTATGTTCTTTTTAGTAAGTTGAATAAATAGGGAAGTTATTCTTTTGTGTCTGTTTTCCTAAGAAGCCAGAGGGGCCTGCTGAGATAATAGTAAGAAATGGATGACTTGCTACAAGGACCTTAGACCACCCCGTGACTCTTGGAATCCCAGGAGTCACACCAGAGGCTGGATTATTTACCCAAGGCAAAAATTTGATACTCAGACTTTAAGCTTCAGGCACATTTTCCCTGGGAAAAAGTTGTTTCACAGTCTGTTTTGTGTATTGAAGATACCAGCTTCCTTGTAGCTTTGTTAAAGAACTGTATCACTAGGAAGTTCCTTTGGTGGTCTGCTCATTTCAAAGCAACTTTTAAAAAAATTTTTTTTATTTTAAAGATGTGGAGTACAGTTCAGGGTTAGGTATACAAATGGTCATTGTAAAGATAAAGTTTGGGCCTCAGTTTGGTCCCCACTTAACTTGGTTTGAGATCAGGTACCCTTATTGATGAAGTGTGCCCCCTGCCCCCGGCAGTTTCCCACTACTGCTGATCCTTTTCTTGTAGTATGATAATTGTTCAGGGTCTGCTTATGAATGAGAACATGTGGTACTCAGTTCTTTGTTTTTGTGGTAGATCACTGAGTATTATACACTCTAAATCCATCCCAGTTGCTGTGAAGTTCATAATTTTGTCCTTCTTTATGGCTGTGTAATATTCTATCATGTATATGTACCACATTTTAAAAAACTTTTTTAAATGTGGGGTACAATTCAGGATTAGGTATACAGATGGTCATTATGCAGGTACCCTTGTTGATGAGGTATGCCCCCCTGCCGGCAGTTTCCCACTATTGCCAATCCTTTTCTTATAGTATTATGATAATTGTTCAAGGTCCGCTTATGAGTGAGAACATGTAGTACTCAGTTCTTTGTTTCTGTGATAGATCACTCAGTATTATTATTATTATAGACTCTAAGTCCATCCAAGTTGCTGCGAAGTTCGTAATTTTACCTTCTTTATCGTTGCCTAATATTCCAACATGTACATGTACTACATTTTAAAAATCCAGTCCAGTTTTGATGGGCAGCACCGTTGGTTCCATTTTTTTGCTATTGTGAATAGTGCTGCAATAAACATGTGTGCGCAGGTATCCTTTTTATAGAATGATTTGAGTTCCTCAGGGTATATTTCCAGAAGAGGGATTGCTGGATTGTATGGAAGGTCAATTTTTAGATCTTTAAGGAATCACCACACTGTTTTCCACAGAGGTTGTACTAGTTTGCACGCCCACCAACAGTGTAGCAACATTCTTTTTTCCCCACATTCTCTCCAGCATCTGTTGCTTTTTGGTTATTGATGATGGCCATCCTGACTGGAGTTAGGTGGTATCTTAGTGTGGTTTTAATTTGTTTTCCTTTGATGATTAGTGGAGTTGAGCACTTTTTCATGTATCTGTTGGCTGCTTGTATGTCTTCTTTTGAGAAGTGTCTATTCATATCTTTTGCCCACTTTGTAATAGAGTTGTTTTTTTTTGGTTTTTTTGGTTTTTTTTGGCATGTTTGAGCTCCTTGTAGATTCTGGATGTTAGGACTTTGTCAGATATACAGTTGGCAAATATTTTTTCCCATTCTGTGGGCCATATTTTTTTATCCAGTCCACTTTCAGTGGGCAGCACAGTTGGTTCCATGTTTTTGCTATAGTGAATCGTGCTGTAATAAACATGTGTGTGCAGGTATCTTTTTCATAGAGTGATTTAAGTTTCTTCGGGTATATTTCCAGAAGGGGAATTGCTGGGTTATATGGAAGGTTGATTTTTTAAAATGCTTTTTTAAAGAAGTTAAAAAAAAATTTTTTTTGAGTTGGAGTCTCACTCTGTCGCCCAGGCTGAAGTGTAGTGGTATGCTCATGACCACCCTAGCATCGACCTGCTGGGCTTAGGCGATCCTTCTGCCTCAGCCTTCTAGGTAGCCAGAACTACAGGCACGTTCTACCACGCCTGGCTGTTTTTTTTTACTTACTGTAGAGATGAGGTCTTGCCAAGTTGCCCAGGCTGTTCTCGAACCTGTGGGCTTAGGCAATTCCCTCACCTCGGAGTTTTTAAAATTTTGAAGTATTTCAAATCCTTTAAAAATATATAGTACCATTTTTAGTACAAAATTATAGATATTCCTTTTAAAGATAGAGCCATCATGCTCACACCAGTGTGCATGTGGTGGCTAAAGTCTTAAAGCATGGGTAATGCTGAGCCTCAGGAGTCTGATGTAGACTGACTTGTTTGGAGAATAACAGTAGGCCAGTGTGATAGGAGTGTTAACTCCTGTTAATCACAGCCTGTCTTTGACCAGTGTATATTGTGGTTTCCACATTTACTGCTTATGAATACTCATAACCAGATACTAGCCAGCTTTCCGTGTACACCAGAATAGGCTCCTTGCCAACAAGATGGTTAAGACATGGTTCCTGCCTCAGGGGCTCTCATGGCACAAAGCAGAGTATAGAGGCAGCACTAAGGAGGTGGCAGTTCCAGGGTTGGGGAAATTAGAGAAAGCTTGATAGTGATAGACAAATCAAATCTTGAGAAGTGGAAGAGGGCTTGAGGGGATCATTCCAGTTGAGTTTTTAGCATAGACTCAGGGAGACAGAAGAATGCATGGTGTGGCAGGCCTTTGAAAATGTGTGCTCGGCCATTGTTACCCTTATCTGGTACAAAAACAGGACTTACTCAGCCAGGGATTTTGTACTGTAAACCATACCAGACCAAAGGAGTAAAGTGCTTCGTGTCATTGAGTTCCTTTTCATCTAAATATTCCTTTTTTGTGTGTTCTTCATCTTTGCTTTAGGTTGCCCACGAGGAAATTGGAAACATTCTGGCTTTTCTCATTCCTTTTGTAGCCTGCATTTTCCAGGTAGGTGAAACATTGATATTTTGCTGAGCTTATTAAACCTATGACCTAGTTTTGTTCTTTAAACTATTAGCAAATTCTAGATCCTGGTTTTTTGTTCCACCAAGGTCTTGGTTCAAATCATGGACAGTACCAAGCTCTTAGTGGAAGGACTTTATGCTCAGCCTGCCTTCTCATTTAACAGAGGAAGAACTTTGGGCTCAGAAAATAAAACTCCTTGCCTAAGGCCACAGGGCCATTGACAGCAGCAGAATGGAAACCTTCCAACTCAAATCTGCCACTTAGAAATAAAACAAACATTAGAATTTAAACTAGAGGGCTTCGATTATTATTTAGTTTTTTTTTCAAATTTTTATTTTGAGTCTGGGTCTCACTCTGTCACCCAGGCTAGAGTGCAGTGGCACAATCGTGACTCACTGAAAGCTCGACCTCCTGGGCTCAGGCGATCCTTCTGTCACAGCCTCCTGAGTGGCTGGGACTACAGGTGTGCGCCACCACCACACCTGGCTAATTAAAAAAAATTTTTTTCTAGAGATGAAGCCTTATTATGCCTATGCCAGTCTCAAACACCTGGGCTTAAGCAGTCCTCTCTCCTAGGCCTCCCAAAGTGCTGAGATTACAGGTGTGAGCCACTGTGCCCAGCCTTATTTAGTTATTTTCAAATAAACTATATATTGAGGGGTAGCATAAAGAGGAGCTTTTGAGTCCCACATAGGCAGAGTTAATTCTAGTAACAACCTGACTCTCATTCTTTTTTGTCCTTCATGTGGGCTAGGATACATATGTTTTTTTCTCTTTTTTAAAAAATTAAAATTTCTGTTCTCAGGGAACTTCCCCTTTCTTCCACATGCATCCTAGAATAGTTTCTTTTTAAGAATTACTTGTTTCCGGGCTCGGTGGCTCAGCCTGTAAACCCGTGCCTTGGGAGGCTGAGGTGAGTGGATTGCCTGAGCCCACGGGTTTGAGACCTGCCTGGGCAACTTGGTGAGACCTCATCTCTACAACAAATCAAAAAATTAGCCGGGCATGGTAGCACGTGCCTGTAGTTCCAGCTATTTGGAAGGCTGAGGTGGAAGGATTGCCGGAGCCCAGCAGGTCGAGGCTGTGGTGGCCGGGAGCGGCCACTGCACTCCAGTCTGGGCGACAGAATGAGACTCCAACTCAAAAAAAAAAAGGAATTACTTCTTGTAGTCTGGGCACAATGGCTCACGCCTGTAATCTCACAACTTTAGGAGCTGAGGCAAGAGAATTGTCTGAGTCCTGGAGTTCAAGACTGGCCTGGACAACATGGCAAGAACTCTTCTCTACAATAAATAAAAAAATTAGCCAGCTATGGTGGCAAATGCCTGTAGTCCCAGTTACTTGGAACACGGAGGCAGAAGGATCACCTGAGCCTAGCAGGCTGAGGCTGCAGAGGTGTGATCGTACCACTGCACTCCAGCCTGGGCAACAGAGTGAGACTCTGACTTAAAAAAAAAAAAAAATTACCTGATTGTGCAAAAGGAAATTTTCAATCCAGGATTGAAAATGCACTCATTTTTTTTTTTTTTTAGAAAAACACAAGTCACCAAAATCTTGGGCATAGCCAGTGGCAGTTTTCTATAGCTGGATTTCTGGCCTGCAAGGATTGGATTGGATAGTTCCACCTCATTCCTTCAACAGTGTTCCTACTTGGATAGCTCCTTTAGTGGGGGACTTGCTCTCGCCCTCTATAACTTGAGCTTTTGCTGAATTGCTCCCTGTTCTGAAAATGTGCCTTTAAAAAAAAAAAAAATTGAACGAAAATGGTGTTTCCACTTCTTGCAGAACAAGAATAGCCTCTTTTCTGTGTGATAGTCCTACACAAAATGCCAGTTACTCTCCCTGTTGTGAGACCTCTCCCTGACTCACAGATGCTTTTGAAGACATGAGAAGGAGGGTACCCAAGGGAACAGTGTTACTCCATGTAATTCAGGAGAAACCAAAATAATAAAAGCACGACTTTCTCTCACCAACATGCTTGCCTGACATGACTCCCTGAAGGAAAACTTCACTACGAGGCCAATCTTGTAAGGTTCTCCTGGTCTGGGTGACTTGCCTCTCACCTGCATCTCTTTTTCCTATAGCCCACCGCCTAGGCATTTCTGTCTCGGTTTCTTTTCCTTTTTTTTTAGATGAGAAAAGAAAGTTTATTTAGAAAGTAGATCAGAGTAAAAGGATGGATTCACCTCTCCAAGATTGGAGAGGGGGGCCAGATGCTTAAGAAATGTTGGGCCATGAATGCTTCTTTCTCTGTTTCTTAAACTTGTTTCAAACATGCCATGTGCTGATTCCTCTTGTGACATCTATGTCACTTTCCTTCTTTCTTCCAAATCCTCGCTTTGATCCAGTGATTAGCAGCAGCCTAACCAGAGGGTCCAAGCGTCATTATAATGAATTCAATTTAAAAAGCTTATATAAGGGAAATGATGCTGTTCATGGCAGCTATGGGAGGTGAGTTTGCATCATCAGATCTTGTGGCCGTTTGGTGATCTCTGATTGGACTTCCTGTTGTGGTCTCATTTTAGTGTTATTTGTACCTGTTCTACAGTCCAGCCAGGACTATGAAGGTGGTGCTGATGCTGCTCTTCATCTGCCTGGGCAACATGTACCTGCATGGGCTGAGGAACCTCTGGCAAATCCTTTTCCACATAGGAGTGGCTTTTCTGTCTTCATATCAGATACTGACAAGGCAGCTTCAGGAGAAGCAGTCTGACTGTGGAGTGTGAGGAGACACCATGTGATGAATGGGTTTTTAAATTTTCTTTTGAGGATTAATCTGTGTTTCCCTTTCTGCTTCTCGACTTCACCTCAAGTTTTCATTCTTGAAGTTCCTTTCAACCAAACTGGACTGAAAAATCGAGAATTGGGGATTTTTTTATGGTTGCAGTAGAAGTCATGAGGTCGCTTGATCCCCATCTATGGTCTTTGCTGAACATTACTGCAGTATCTCCAGTTGAGCACGTTTACTTAGGATAGCAGGACCTGGGGGATCACTTGGGAAGAACTTTATTGGAATAGTGAAACAGAAATATTTGGGGCTTTGAAGTTGAATGATGCAATAAACCACTAGATTCAGTAACACCAGTTTTAGTAATTGGCAGATGTCTTCAAGGAATCGTTTTAAAATCCAAATCAGCTTCTCAGTTTAAATATTATTTGGTTAGTATTTTTTTAGAGGGTCAGTACAGGGTGAATTAAAATCTTTTAAAATATGGTTCACAAATATAAGCTAGATCAGTTTTGTTTACATTTTTTTATATCTTAGGTTTGATATACCTTTGGAATATTTAAATATAGTTTGGATAGAAATTGAACTTCATTTAGGGTGAGGGCAAACTTAGGCTGAAAAATGGTTAAGAAATATGAGTTGACTGGGCTCGGTGGCTCAGCCTGTAATCCCAGCACTTTGGGAGGCCAGGCGAGTGGAGAGTGAATTACCTGAGCCTGCGGGTTCGAGACCAGTGTGGGAAACTTGGCGAGATCCCATCTCTACAATAAAAAAAAAAAATTGACCAGATGTGGTAGCGCACGCCTGTAGTTCTGACTACTTGGAAGGCTGAGGCAGAAGGATCGCTGGAGCCCAGCAGGTTGATGCTGGGGTGGCCGTGAGAGTGCCACTGCACTCCAGCCGGGGCAACAGAGTGAGACTCCAACTCAAAAAACAAAAAAACAACAAAAAACCAAACAAAAAAAAGAAGTCTGAGTTTATTTAATTTATATATAACCTTCTATGGTGATGGGACTCTGTGGGTACAAAAATGTTTTATATTTATTTGGAGGGTATAACTGAATATTTTAAAAATTAATTGAGTTATCAGCATGAACAGAAATGAGAATTTCAGGATTTCTTACAATTCCTTACAATTGGCCACAGGATTCCTTACAGTTCCTTACAGTTGACCACAACCTGGTGTGGGTGAATGACATGAATTCAGTGGTACCTTATAGACTCATTTGGGAGAGGCTGCTGTCATCAGCCTTTTCAGTACAGCTGAGTGCCTGTCATTTTCATGACACTGACTACTTTACCCTGTGTACCAGTTCCCAGAGGACCTCCCTAGTTAATTACTCCTCTACACATTTCCCAGTAATCTTAATTAGCTTGAGGGCCTCATTTTTTAGAAACAAGAGTTAAGTAGATGTTAACTTTTTTTTTTTTTTTGAGTTAGAGTCTCACTCTGTCACCCATGTTGAAGTGCAGTGACACACTCACGGCTACTGCAGCCTCGACCTGCTGGGCTCAGGCGATCCTTCTGCCTTAGCCTTCTAAGTAGCTGGAACTACGGGCACATGCCACCATGCCCGGCTAATTTTCTGATTTTGTTGTAGAGACAAGATCTTGCCAAGTTGCCCAGGCTGGTCTTAAACCCCTATGCTCAGGCAGTCCTCTCTCCTAAGTCTCTTAAAGTGCTGAGATTACAGGTGTGAGCCACCATGTCCAGCTGGATGTTAGCTTTTTGAAGCCTTGGAAAGATAAAATTAACATGTGCTCTGGAAAGTTACTTTTTTTCATTGTCAAAAAAAATCAATCATAGTTTTCCAAAATATAGTTCTGAATTAAATCCCTTAGGCCTCCAGAAAGTTCAACCTGGCTTGTCTAGTACCACTCAGGAGACCATCTTTGGAATGTTCTTGGTAGAAGCTGGAATCTGAATAACTCAATCACAATTGCATGGAATACTCTGAGTTGAATTATGTGGTCTTGATTAACTGAAAAAATCCTGATAGTTTTAAAAAGTGGAAAACCATTGCAAGAGTAACTGAGTAGGTGGGGAAAGCAAGAATGTAGTTTTAGATAATTCATTTGTATTTGGTTATTGTTGGTTTTGTATTGTTCTTGAGCTACCTTGGTATCATTTTAAGAAAAACGAGTTTATATGATTGGTAACTATGTTGGGAAAATGTTGCCACAGTAACTTTATTTTCTTATAATAGAATTTTTTTTATTTTTAACCAAATAAAATATCTGGATATAAAAATTATATTAGCAACATTCTCAGATGTAGACTCCACAGTTGTCTGTCCACTGAAACCTCTGTTTCACATCTGATACTTTTCTACATACCCAGCAAGTGAATTTTCAGTCTTTTTGGGAGACAGTTTTGAAGAGATGGTAAAATAAAATGGGAAGCCAAGGAAGGGAGAAAAATTCTTTTAAATTAGAAGCCCTCAAAAGCTTTCAAGCTAATAAGAACAACCTAAAAATGTATTGTTTTCTTTTTAAGCCTGTGTGGTATTGATATACTGGGTATCCCTGAACCCCATATACTTTGGGGATCTGAGCCTGTGATCCACATTCAGCAAGTAGTAAAGAAACAGTCCTTGAACATGAGCCATTTCCTGCACTGAGGCACTAGTGGAGATGTGGTTCACACTTGATTGAATGTGGTCTTAGTCAATTAATATCTACATGGGGTCTGAGATTTACTTTTGCATCCAAAAAGAAAAGGATGTCCTAGGAAAACAGTAAATGTAATGACCAATAAGACATTGCTTAATTGAAATCAGCTAAAAGATGTCTCAGCTCACTGGAGGAAGAGACTGATGACAGGAAAGAAGTTCTAGTGATTTCATCTAAGAGAAATCCCAGGATTGGGTTGCCTTGGTTCAGGGCTGGAGGTTTGTAGCCCAGTGTGTAATCCTTGATGCCAGAAAACTGGTTCCACATCCCAGGAGTTATCCTCCCTTCACCATGGACTCATTTGTTGTTCCAGACCCTCTGTTTCCCAGTGGTTAAATGCTGCCTGCCCAGCTCACTTCACGGGGCTAGATGTGGGAATAGATGAAATAATATTGAAAACAAAACTTTTTTTTAAATTAAAATGATGTTCCACTCCGGAATGTAATCACCAAGATGGATTAAATATGAGCACAACCTTCCCAAGGGCAAAGGGGGAGTAGGCAGGAGATCAGAAGGCAATTCCTTGCAGGAGAAACCCAAGCTTTCCCACACTGCCCCTACTGAGACTGCTGTTTGAGTACTTGATACTAACTCTATTTTTATGTATTCTTATGGAATGAATATGCAATTGAGAGGAATGTAGCAAAATAAGGAAACATGTCTCAAACTTAAAAAAAACTTAAAAATTCCCTGACTGGGAAACACCCCCAGGCTGCAGTGGTGAGAGCACTGAAGCCTAACCACTAGACCACCAGGGATGAAAACAAAACTTTAAAGATGCCTTCTGGTATCAGATGCTGCAAGATCTTGGGCATCAGTGTGTTAAGTACCACTTACGCATCAAGACAGGAGTGTATAGCTCTGTGCTCTTGCTCAGGGTTTTCCAACCAAGGAGTCAGAGCCTAAAAGGTTTCCCTTCCCTGAGTGTCTTAATGACAGTGTCCTAGGTTAGCCTTATCGTGATGAGACTGTACCTGGCTCTCTTCTTCCTGGGTGGAGACAGCTGGGGGCACATTTGGGGTGGCATTCCTTCTCAGTACTAGAGACCCCACTGCTTGCAGCAGGAGGAATGTGACCTTAGGCTCCTGATTTTGCTTCTCAGGCTTGCACCCTGTTTTCTGTGAACCATGTTGAAATGCATTGTGAACCAAGGCCCAACAATTTTAAATTCTTTAAGGGATGGAGAAACGGGTGTCAGAATGAGTGCTAAATTTAAACATTAAACATTTTGATCAGCCTCACCTTGAGCCCCTTTGTTCTATGCTCTTTCTCTGACTCTCCTGCCTCTTTCCACCTCTTCCCTACACACTCCAGTTCTGGGACAGAGACTGAAACAGGAGGCTGGAGGGATGGGAAGGCCACCTTTAATTGTAATTGATAGAGCAGATAGAGGAGCTTCAGAGTGGGAGCAGATTGCATTGAGGCTCAGCCCTCCCAACCATGCCTGGTAATCAGGTCTTGGTGAGAAGGGCACTTTGGTGGTCAGCACTGCTCAGAGCCAGCAGCAGGGCCAGCAGTAGGGCCAACTGTTTGGGGCACAGGAAGCCGGGGATTGGTAGGGAGCAGAACTGGGAGTTTCTGTCTCTGCTGGAAGGCAGCAGCTGCCCCTTGGCATATGGGGCCTGTGTGCTGCACCTTCATCCAGGCTGCCGTTTCCTGTTCCTTGTAGGAGTCGGCTGTCATTGCAGGACATTGCCGTACCACCCCCCCTGCCCCGAACTTGCTGCTTGCTTGCAGAGTGCAGCACAAGTGAGGATGGCAGGGATGGAAGTATTTATGTGCCTGGCAAACCTGTGTTCAGACATTGCTCACATTCCAAATGTTTTTACACAGAATCTCTCACAGGTCTGAGGAAGCTCTGCCTGTGCACTGTGAGTGTAATAATGGTGAGAAAAGAGTAGATAGATGTGCCGAGGAATGAGGTAAGGGAAGGAGTGCACTAGTCAGCTGACTAGATGGCTTAAAGATTGGCACAGCTCTTCCACTCTGCCACATGTCACAGTCAAGTCACTGCCCATCCGACCTCAAATTTCCTCACCTGGCAAGTGGTGATCACATCAATCTGCTCTCCTGCTGTGCTGTTATATAGGTCAGAAGTGGTATTGAAGGGGAATACTAGGTGCATCCATTGTTTGTGTGTGGGAAGAGAAAGGTTTTTTAAAATTTAGAGACAGAATCTTGCTCTATTGCCCAGGCTGTGGTGAAGTGGTGCAGTCATCTCAAATTCCTGGGCTCAAGTGATCCTCCTGCCTCAATCTCCCAAGTAGCTAGCACTACAGATGTGTGCCACCATGTCCAGCTAATTTTTAATTTTTTTTTTTGTAAAGACAGGATCTCACTATGTTACTCAGGCTGGTCTCAAACTCCTGGTCTCAAGTGATCCTCCTGCCTCAGCCTCCCAAAGGATTACAGGTGTGAGCCATTGTGCCCAGCCGAGAGGAGAAAGGCTTTGTGTTTATTTAGCACACACAACTTCTTCATGATTCTGGCACAGCCCAGCCAGGTCATCTGGCCTTTTAAAAAAAGGCATATTTAAAAGTCATTCTTTCGCTCCATAAAGTTAGCAGCTCTTGCCCCTCCCTCCCTCCAGATCTGCCTCCCACTTCCCAGGCATCGAGCTCATGGTTCCGTGGGTAGCTGGTGTATGCCAGGATCCAAGGAGGCTGATTCTGCTGATTGGACCAAACTTCAAGGTCCATTCCTGGCCCAAATGAGGAGAGCTTTGTTCTCTCATCTGGGAGCAGTGATGTCAAACGTCTGTTGCTGCGGAAACCTCATCAGCAGAGAACCTGTGCGAAAGGGCTTGTCAGTAAAATCTGGGAATGGCTGGGTATGGAAACATCTGCCCATGTGTACCGATGGCAGAGCTGTTGCCCACAAGCACCTTTTATTTAGGGTACAATTAATAAACCCATTCCGTTCCTCCAAACTGTGCTCAGTACATATGATCTTCTTTAACTCCTGCATTTATGTGATTCTGGGGTTGCTTCAGAAGTATTAATTAATTACTCATATGGCTCGACCTCCAGGCTTCTATTTTGTTTAATGGACTTTTCTATTAAGAGCATAAAATATTGAGGCTGATTTCACCAGGGCAAAACTATTTACATCACATATTCATATATATATACATATATATATATGTTCATTTTGAATATTTGCTGTCCATGTTACACAAGCTTCTTACTTTTTTCATGTAGCAACAAAGAACTATTTTGAGTAAATGATGGGTACTTTTTAACAGACTTTTACATAGTAGCATACTAAAACATAAAACCTAAACTTGTCTAAATGTATGTAAAGAATATTGTATAGCCATTTGTATCCTATGTCTGTCAGTTAAGTGAGGAGGCTTCAGAAGTGGGAAGAGAATAAAATCAAGGTGTTTATTAATGTGTGTATTTGCACTTGTGTGAACAATTCTGAGTTACAGCTTCCTTTTTCTAGAAGGTAATGGGGGTGGGGGGGTTGTTGAGAAAAGTGAAATTCCAGTCCTCTTGTCCAGTGAAGTCTAGACAAGTGCAAGGGCTCAAATAGTCTTTAGAACTAATCTCCCCCAAAATAGCAGCCACAGCACGGTCCTGGGGGTTGGGAGACCTGCCCTTCTTGCAGGCTCTGTCCCTGCCCTCTGTGGGCCCCTGGGCAGGCACGTTCTCGGATCTGGGATTTGGGGTCCTATTTACTGCGGGGGTGGTGAAGTGTTCCGCCCCATCACAGAATGACCACCAGGAGGCGCGGCTGCAGACCACATCATCAGGTTCCCAGCCCAGGGACTGTGCCCTTTTGCAGAGGCCTTTCCTGTGGCAGCTGATAAAATTCCCAGAAAGGAAGCAAATGCACTATTCTCTCCTGACCATCCTCTAACCACGTTGGGGAATTCATGCTTCAGGTGTTTCTGTACCACCTGTCCTGAGTCAGAATCTTTTGGAGGAAGGCTACAACTTGCAAAATAAACACCCGAGTTATTGGGCGCTGGGCTTTGGGAGTTGACAGAGACTTCAGATATCTTTTGGTTCTACCCTCTAGTTGCTCAGGTGGGGAAGCTAAGGCCTGTCCTGGGAGACAGTGACAGTAACTCCCAGAGCTTGGCCGCCTGGGCTAGGAACAAGGGACTCATCACTTGGCAGCATTCACGAAGAATAAAGGGGAATCTTGGCCCACGGAGATGCCTTTTCTGTGCAAGGTGGGCTGGGTGAGAAGTTCAGGCTGATAAGTTGCCTTTTTTCTCAGGCCCCACCCCTTGAAGGGGGCCAGGGAGCAGAAGTGCTGCCTGGTGGCTACCAAGCAGCTAAGGGCAGTGCCCGGGGGGGAGAAGCACTGAAAGGAGGGGCCTGCTTGGCTTTGCCGAGGCAGCGCTAACATGTCGCTGGATCAAATGTAGAAGGCAAAATCTATAGAGTTCACTGAAGAACATGAAGAATATCTTTGTGGCATGTAGTGGAGGCACTTCTTAAAAAATGTCACAGGCACAACCATTGAGGAAAACGAATTTGATTATAGACAAATTAGAGTGTTATGGGCAAAGTTAAAAGGAAGAGAGGTATTTACAATGCCTGAAACCAAGAAGGGATTAATACAGAAGCAAGAGAGAGCAATTCCAATAGAAAAAGAGATAATTTACAGAAGAGGATACCCAAAAAGCTAATAAGCACACCTGTAATCCCAGCACTTTGGGAGACTGAGGTGGATGATTGCTTGAGCCCAGGGATTTAAGACTAGCCTAGGCAATGTAGCCAGAACTCATCTCTGCCAAAAAAATTCAGCTATGTGTGGTGGTACATGCCTGTAGTCCCAGCTATTTGGGAGGCTGAGGCAGGAGGATCACTTGAGCCTGGGAGTTTGAGGCTGCAGTGAGCCATGATTGTGCCATTGTACTCCAGCCTGGCTGACAGAGTAAGACCCCAACTCAAAAAATAAAAACATTTGAAATACATGTGAAAACAACAATAAGATACTGGCTTTTGTCTATTAGTTTATTTGGCAAAATTTGCAAAACTGGACAGCACTAAGCGCTTGGGGGAGTGTGGAGCTAGAGGACCTCAGTGCTGCTGCTGGTGAGTAGTCAGGGATGGTCCATCTGCAGAGCCACACTGCTGTTAGGGGCTGACGTGTGCGCCCCCAAAACTTGCAGGCTGAAGTTCCAACCCCAGGTCTCAGAATGTGACTGGAGTTGGAGATGGGGCCTTTAAAGAGGCAATTAAGGTGAAATGAAGTCATAGAGATAGACCCAAAGCCAGTAGGACTGGTGTGCTTATCAGAAGAGATTAGGGTACAGGTCCAGGGGAAAGACCCCGTGAAGGCACAAGAAGACAGCCGTTGAATAGACACCTTGATCTCAGGATTCCAGCCTCCAGAATCATGGGAAATAAGTTTCTGTTGTTTAAGCCGCTCAGGCTGTGGTAATTTGTTATGACTGCCCTAGCAAACTAATAATGCCACCTGCCCAAATTCAGTGTGCACACACCTCCTGATGTGGAAATTTCACTCCCAGTTATAAGCCTGGGAAAAGTCTCACAGGTCCTTAATGGGACATGTATGAAGATAATCATTCACTGAAGCACGATTTGTGTTGGTGGAAAGCAATCTCTGTATTGGTCAAGGACAGATAAAGTGTGTAGGTTTGTCACAGAGCACCACGAAGCAGTCAGACCCACTAAATTTATATGTAACATCACCACGTGGATGGATCTTCAAAACCAAGAGCTGAGTGAAAAATGACTGTTTTATAATTAGAAATATGTGCATGCAAAATGATAAAATACTTTGTATGAATGTATGCAAAAAGACACATGTTAAACACATTTGAATGGTTGCCTACAAGGGGGCAGGAGCATGGGAGTTAGGTACAGGGATAATAAGAGATTTTTTAAAAAATAAGCGTTGCTAGAGTCAGCAATCAGAGCTCTGGGAGAATGAGGTGGGCTGTATTTCCTCTGGGAGATCTTGTCCTGGGTGTGCCCAGCCCTGCAGCTGACATTATAAGGCTGAGAAGGCAGGACTTTGGGGAGCTTCAAAGCCCCACATGCTGCCAGAGTGTCTGAGCCTCCAGGGCTGATCTGGTGGGTGAGGAAGGGGAGAACTGAAGCAGGAGTCTGGAGTGGGATTGGTCAGGGAGAGCTCTGAAAACCATAGGGACCATGGATTGGGGAGAGCAGACAGATGAGGACCCCAGAGGAGAAGCGGGTGTGTGGGAGCTGGCTCTGGCCACTGAGCCACTGGGGACTCTCGCCTCTCCAGATTCAGACCATCTGACTAGTAGTTTCCTGGCCAAGACTCTTTCCCACACAAGGCATGTACTCAGCTGAAGGGCTCTCACGAGGACGAGAGACATAACTGCAGGGAGACAGAGGTGCCCCCAAGGCAAGTCCTTCCCAGAAATAGCCTGTTCTGGCCACAGAGCCCAGAGTGTGAGCCTGGGGAAGTGAAGCTGGAGGCGGGTGGAGGTGGGAGGAGTGAAGGTGACCAGGACCACCATTGCCCTGGGGCTTATTCCAGGCACATTTTCTGAGGCCCCAGGGATCAGAGCAAGGGGCGGGGCAAGGAACATGGGGCCAAAATTAGAATGAACTTTCTCACAGAGCTGTCCAGCAGAGGTTGGAAAGGCAGTGAGCTCTCCACCACGGAGGTGTGCAAGCAGAGATGAGATGTGTTGGATGGAACCTTGGAACGTACTATTCCCATCTCACAGACAGTGTCTTGTCCTGAATACTGGTGTCCGAGGGGACATTTGTCTGTCTCCTGGAGTGCCTCCTGTTGTGTCCATCCCACAGGGTGAGCCAGACGCCAGTTGCAGGAAACAGCCTGTGCCAGCTCCCGTTTGAAGAGTAAATATTAGTCTTTTCAAGAGCTGCCTGTTCTCTGTCACTTGGCACCGAGGACACTGAGCTGGGCAAGGCGGGGACAGGAGGGGGGCTCTTCTTCCGCAGGCCCAGTTGGAATCTATGGGCCTGGGTCATTGCTGGAATGGGGTGCTCCGGGAAACTAGCCTCACAATGTCCAGCCGGTCATCTTCTCCCCATTGCTCAGCCAGCAGTGAGTCCTTGAGCTAGGGGAGTTCAGACAGCCTGAGGTCACAAGCCCTCCAGTTCTCCACAGATACTGTCCAGGCTGCTTTGGCAGAGACAGGGGCTGGATGTTTTGACCTGGACCTCAACTACTCTGTGAACCCCAGCTCTGACGTATATAGTTTAAAATCTTCTGATTATCAGGAAAGGCGGATGACCTGCTCCTGCTCCATCACCAGCCCCTTGGGGAGGCCTCCTCTGACCACCCCAACTAACAGGGCACCCCCTCACTCGGGCCCTCATCCTGCTGCTTTTTTTTTCAGTAGTTTTTCTCACTTATCATTTGACCCTCCATCACTAGAGGGTCAGCTCCAGGAGGGCAGGGGCTCTGCTATGTTCACCACTGTATCCTCAGATTTAAAAGTGTGCACACGGCAACTATTTGCTAAATGAAAACAGTGGCAGCAACACTTAGAAAACATTTCACACTGATGAGGGTGGCGATTCCTAAAAGATCTAAAAATCAACCTTCCATATGGCCCTGCAATCCCCCCACTGGAATAACTCAAATAACTCGATGAAAAAGATATCTGCACACGTATGTTTATTGCATCATTGTTCACAGTGGCAACAACATGGAACCAACTGTGCTGCCCATCAAAGCAGGACTGAATTTTTAAAAAATGGTACATCTACACAAGGGAATATTATGCAGCCATAAAGAAGGACAAAAATCATGACTTTCACAGCAACCTGGATGAACTTAGGGTCTATAATACTGAGTGATGTATCACAGAAACAAAGAACTGAGTATTACATGTTCTCACTCATAAGTGGACCTTGAACAATTATCGTAATAGTAAAAGAAAAGAATTGGTAGTAGTGCAAAACTGTGGGGGTGGGGCAGGAGGAAGCCAGGATTGGCAGTAGTGGGAATCTGCTGGGGGAAGGAGGGGCACACGTCATCAACAAGGGTACCTGCATAATGAACATTTGTATACCTAATCCTGAATTGTATCCCACATCTTTAAAATAAAAAGAAAAGGGGGGGGGGGGAAGCATTTCACAGACATAACTCTCATCCCCTTGCCTCTGAAATTACATCTCTCTGAAGCCACTCCACCATTATGAACTGGGAAGGTGAAGGTGGGGGATCCCGTCTCTGGAAGGAGGAAGGTAGGCTGGAGGGAAAGGGAGGAAAGCCCACCTACAGCTGGTGAAGGGTGAAATGAAGGGGAAGAATATGTCTGATGTGTCCTGTTCTCATTATCTGGGATGAAATCTTCAGGGAAAAAACTGAAAGCTGAAAATAGAAGAGGTGTGTGTCCACTCTGCATTAGGAAAGCAGCCTCCTTCCCCCTCTGCCTCAAGCAACCTGTGCCCCTCATGTAGACCTGGCTAAA